TTAAGGAGCTTGCTGCGGTTACCTGTATTGTAAAGCAGAGGTGAAATTAATAAGGTGTTTTACCTTACCCGTTTGTAATCTCAGCTCGTGCTCTTGCGTGATTTCGTTGTACGCATGTTTTCTTCTGTGCTTTCGTTTTCATTAGTTACAGTTCTTTCTGCCCGAAGTGTGGCGCCTAAGCGATACGAAACGTTGCAGGAACAACTCTTAATGCCTTCAAAACTTCCTGCATAGGTAATTTTCTTTTTGCTTTCATCGTGAGTGCATCTTTACACGTTATTTTATGTTTTGGGTGTTAATATGTTGAGAGAGGAAATCTTGACTCTCTGATCTGAAAATATCCCCAGGCTTCAGTCTTGTAAGTAAATCGAGTTATTTAAAATTTCTTGGAGGCTTTAAAATCTTTAGCCAGAGTTAGTTTAAATCACAGCATTAAACAAAATGAAGGCATTCAAAACTTCAGGGAGTTTTTTCCCCCTAACGTCTGACTTTCCCCCTAACGTCTCTCTTCCCCGGTAGTTTAGACAGTTGTTTGATGGATTGGTGAGATTATAATGGACTTCCAAAACACAGCATCCGCCGATCAGCAGTTATTTTTTAACCACTTCTTGCCAACGAGTTTATTTGGAGGTATTGTTCTAGGCTCTCCCTAGAGTGACCAGTTAAAGGTGATAAATGGAAATGCAGAAGCAGGGAAGTGGAATATTGCCTGGGGTGGGGGGTTAGGAGCTCTGGTGCCCTTCTATCTTTCTGTCACATCCCAGCAAATTTTACTGTATTTACCATGTTCCGTTTTACAAACCCAGAGATAACAGCATCATCAGAATTATGTCAACCGCTCCCCTTTCGCATCTCAAATTACCTGACAGGGAATGGATTGCATTTTCTCCTGTCTCTGCCTGAAAAATGATATTACGTTTTACTTTCCTTGATTTTTTTGGTAGCTTGTAGATAAGAAAAAACTACAACTGACCTTCATCTAATGGCTTCAGCAACTCAGACCAGCTGTGTGGTCTAAGAAAAAGAGTCTGGTAGATTTGAGAATGGGGCCCTAGCATAGTAATGCTAATATATTAAACGGCTGTAGCTGAAAATTTTGAGTGACTGTTGCTTAAGGGGAAAATGAAAGGGAATTAAAAAAAAAAAAAGTGCAAAATATTAAAGAAATATTTTAAACAGTGCATGCTAAGTCCCTAAGAGCAGGAGAACGTAAGATAATCCCTTCTGTTTGCTGGAAGCTCTGGGGACCGGCCGTATCAGCGTTTCTTTTTGTGCTTGGCGTCTGGCATTGGGTGGCAGCGAGTCATTAATTTCCATGAACTTTGTTCCGTTTTGTACCAAATCTGCGCCACCGCCTTTCCTGTGAACGGCAGGGACCCACCCCGCTTTGAGCCAACCCTCCTCGCTTTTCGCAGTCAAGGAGGTGGGCGTGTTTTATATCGGATCGGGCCCACAATTGTAGCGTTTTGTGTGCAGCGTAATGCCTGAAATTTATAGGCTAGGGATTAAATATAATAAAAAGTATGCTGGATTGTTATTTACTGCAGATTTATTTTGGTCATTAACTGTGTGACACTATGATAATATTATTATTATTTACTATTAGAAGCAATAGAGATTTTGGGAAACAATTCTTTCTTTTAGCATGCCACAGTCATCAACCATCTTTTTGTGTTTGTCAAAGTTTTCACAGAATTTACAGCAAGGCTGTTAAATTATTACCAGCTGAAATAACAGAAGCTCTTTCTGTAGTGCTGGATGAGATGTAAAGTACAGGAAACAGAGGAGACAAAAGAGAACCTTTCAGGAGATTTTGATCAGACCAGCAAGTGTCCAAAAATGTTTCACTCACCTTCAAGCTTAGTGCTTTCTGGGGAGGGGAAGAGAGGAGTAGGTTTATCAGCTGTTTTGTACAAAGGTATCTGAGGCTTCTGAGGTATCTGTGTATGTAAAATTCACTAAGGTGATTTTTTGATTTTTATTTATGTCGTAAAAGCACAATGTGTTGGTATATATTTCATATAGAAAAGTGTATTTTTCCTGTCCGTTGCTTGCTTTGCATTATTTGCATCAAGGTTCCATAGCTGAGCAAGCAGGGTCGTCGCTGGCGTAGTCGTCTTTCTCAGTGCGGAAAGCAGGCACTGTTTCAAAAGTCTGCATGTTATTAAACCTTGTTTATTTTGCATTATGATATGTTAAAAAAATCTCAGTTAGATCCCGAAGAGTTGTTGCTTTCAGAATAAAGGCAAAACCAGTTTTGGACATTAGCAGTTATAGTTAAAATCCGAATCCTGATCCTGCCTACTGATGTAAACTCACATAGCTCAGATTTCAAGGAAACTCTCCTGATTTACATAACATTGTCCCAGGTTTGAGGGCCATCTCCTACCTTTCCTTTTATGAAATGCCAAAAAATGCTTTAAGCTATGATTTCTCTGAACTGTGTTTTCCTCCTAAAATTTTGTAGGAGCTGCATGTGCGCGTTCATCCCCTAGAAGAGGAGGGGATGCAGCCTGCTAAGGGGAATGGAAACAAGTGTTTTGCCTGTTTTGGAAAAGCGGTGATATTGAAGGTAAGAATGTTGAAAAACACATTGCTGGGTAATGAGTGTTTTATTATTTTAATGAACTTTGTGAAGACGTTTTTTTCTTGCTAAGTTGAAATTGTTTCTTGAAAAGAGATACAAATCCAAGAAAGGCTTGCTCTAAAATCCTGAATGCTGGATGAATTCGCTGAGGTGCTTGTGGCACTGATGAAGGCTGTTAATTTCCACACTTTTCAAACACATGCTGGGCCAAGCGGTGGTCCATTTTATGCCTCGCTTGCATAGTTGGAATACGAATGTACTGATAGTTTCTACAGCAGGACAATGAAATATTGCCGTGCTGGCAGAATAATTCTTGAGTCTGTCTTGGCCCCGTTTACAAGACACAAACTCAGAAGAGTGGTAGTAATGACAAGGCTTTTAATATTCTGCTGAGCCCTCCTTTGCAGCAACTTGGCAAACGCGGAGAGCTTGGAGGCTGCTCTACCTTTGCCTGAAGTTGTGGGCGCAGAAAGTGGTGTTTTGTTTTTGTTTTCTGATCTGTATAATTCTGTGAGAGATACAGCTCAGCCGTACCCGAGGAATGTAGCTGCTGTGCACATCCTCCATTAATATTAATAAAGAAAGTCGAGTTCTTGGGTTGTCAAAGTTTTCTCTTCACATCTACTTCCTACCAAGTTAAAACCATGCTTGGAGCATAGAGTCCGAACATTCAGATAGACTTTAGAAATGAAGCCGTTGCAGAACCAGAAATCTAATCCTTCAGTTAACGACTAGCAGCCTTTGAAAAGAGAGGCACTATTGTGCACGCGCCTTGCCTCACCTCGGGTGAGCACCACGAGTAATGCACATCGGGAAATGAAATATGTGTGAATCTCTGAAAATGAGAAGTTAACCAAAGCTGCGTTCCAAGGCGCCCAACATACGGGGGAGCTCTCAGTGAGGGGGGGAAAAAGGAAACTGCAACTATTGAACAGCAGAAAATGCTTGTTTTATATTCAAAAGGTAGCTACAGGTGAATTATGTAGTAAGATAAAAGGTTTTTTTTTTTTTTTGAAAGACTGGCAACCTTACTTGTTTATTAGGTTGTTCAGGAGTTTTAGCAGAAGCAGAAGCGTTCTCCTTGTTAAGTTCTGATGTCTTAAAAATTTGCTCTTCAGATTGGAGAGACAGATTTTTTTCTTCCTGTCCTAAACTGTAGGTAAATACAGGTTGTATTTTAACCCACCTGTATCTGCATTTAAGGAGTGGATCGAAGGATTTTTTTCCCTGGGCTAGAGGTGTGGCATTACAAATATTTGTACTGTAATTGACTAGCTGACTCTCACAGCCTTGAGACATAATTTTTTTCCCAAATCTGAGACGGGCTTGGATCTGTGTGCATGCTGCCCGTCTGGGGATGATGTGATTTTAGGTGTCTCAGGAAAACAAACGCTATTCACGCTCTTCAATTATATATTCCCTAGTATCCCCTGCTGCTGGCAAGTTCACTGTTACCTTTCTTGGACTAGGAATGAGAAGGCACTACGAAAGAGAAATACATACAGTTGATCATAGAAAGATGAACTGAAACAACACTGCGGTCAATAGGATTGAAAATGAACAAAGGAACCCTCTGTCCTGCTTTCAGGCCTGGTGTTTTAGGGCGTAGGTTCAGCTGTTACTACTTGCTCGTAGGTCTGTTTTTAATATGTTCATTTCTAGTAAGTAGAGCTGTCCCTGGAAGTACATTTTTGATGATTGCAGAAAGTGCAAATGCTGTGAGGTCTGCCCTTCGGTTCTGCATCATTTTTCATCTGATCGCCAGTAACTGATGTGCTAGTAACTGAGAGTCACTTATTGCCTTCAGCTTTCTCACATGGATCCGTTGTAGACCTCCAGCAAGAGCTCACTGTGGTGTTGGAGGATGTGTAGATGCTTCGTAGACTGATAGGCTTTGGATGTAAATGGGACAGTCTGAAATGCAGCCACTATGTGATGCCTGGGGGGCAAAATCCTCCAACCTTAGTCACTCCGTCTTGTCTCCCATTCTTTAAATAATCCTACTGAAATCCTTTTACGCACGTGTAGCTATTGAATACAAAGCAGAAAGGTACCGTTCAGTGTGGCGAAAAGTCACCTTGTGTTTATGTCATGAAATACAAAAGTGCATAATCGAATTACGCATGCACAGCGAACGGGGATTTCTCTAATTCTGTAGTGACGCTAGACCATATCTTGGTTTAATTTTAAAGGGTTAGGGTTGGTTTCTCTCCTTTGCTGTGGCTTTGTATGCCTTTGTAATCTAGGTTACTCTGAATGTTGTTCATCTGACTGGAGGACAAATTCCTTTGGTATAAGAATTGTTTAGTAATGCAGTTTGTGCATGCTCTAGGCAGAGGGCACAAAAATGGAATGGTTCTTTGTGAATGAGCAGGTTTTCCTGGAGTTTTCCCAAGTAAAGATACTTCTTTGCATCTATCTTGTTTGCTGCGAGCTGACTATAGGAACTTTGCAGATCTGTGCCAGGTAGTTTTTATTTTAAGAAGTCGTAACATTAAGGACGCTGTGGGCTGTCTGTAAAACAAACAAACGAAAACAAACAATAAACTTGATGCGAATGTGAGCTTGGAGAATGCCTAGGGCAGGGGTTAGGGCTGCAGCATTCTAGGATGCATCTTCTTTCCTCAGTGTAGCTGATGATTTGAATGCCTAAATTAGGTAACCTATTTACTCTGCCTTGAGCGGTTCTGCGTGGGCCATGGCTATAATGGCAAAAGCCTGATGTATCTGTAATTTTTTGGTATTCAGATTAAGAGCGTTTTCTTCTCAGGGGTTGAGTGGCAAGAAATGTGTTGAATATTCTTAAGGTAGCACATTGCTCCATGACGTGTGTATGAGAAAGCTCAGAATACATCTTGTCTGGTGAAAGAACATCTTGCATCTTTGTGCAAAGGAGGGGGGAAGCCAGAAGTTCGACTGCAGAAACCGAGATGCAAGAATACTGTAGAAGTTATACTGCAAAAGTGGAAGATAGCAAAACAAGAAGTTAGTCTTTAAAATGGCAGAAACAAGTGTTACTAATGTGTTGCACTGAAATTATATGCTTTCATTACTAATAATGGAACTTTTTTCCTAATATTTAAAGTCAATATAGAAAACAGGGTTTGAAGTATATATTTTAGGAAATGAGGGTTGTAATTTTTCACAGCTTGCACACAGCCGCTATAGTTGTATGAACATAGCTAGTATTTGCATAACAACAACTTTGTGCATTAGAAGTGGACTTGGTAAGTTTATTATCGTGTTTAATGATAAAGCTTTTACTTACATGTCAGCAAAGCGGAACTGGATACCTGCACTTTGGCAAACTGCCTGACTGGTCTTTGGCTAATGGCTGTATCGTGGCAATCTGCCTGCCTGCTAGACATATATTTCATTTCTGTCTCTTTAAACTTATTCAGCCCACCAAGATAGGTTTTAAAAACGGAAAAGATCTTCTGGCCAAGCGTTGCATCCCTCGCTCTTCCCAGTGCCTGCTCCGGCTGCGCGCTGGAGAAGGAAAGAAGGGAGAATGGGAACACTGACCACGGATGGGGAAAAGGAACGGAGAATCCTTCCAGGTTGTGTGCAGGTGATGGCAGCTGATGTATTGGGCTATAATAAAGCCAGAAAGCAGGCTTGTGACCTTGCTGAAGGCTGGGGAGGAAAAACAAAACCATGCCGTTCGCTAGTTCCTCTATGCACCTACTGGGCATTTGGCAAGGACTCGAGCTCTAAGCCCTAGGGAATCACCTGCCGCCTTTGAAATGAAGCACACAAACCCAGAAATGCTTCCAGTGGTTGTGGCCCGTTTTTTGCAAACCAGACTTAGCTACTTCGCTCCACAGTCTCACCTTATCTTTAAACTCAGTGGCATTACTGTGTTGGTATGAAAAATGGTGCTGCTGTGGTATTAGACAGTAAAAGTTGAGGACGGTGAAGTGTAGCAAAAGTAGCGTTATGCCATGAGTTGAATGATATTTCAGGGTAAAATATTTCATTCCTTGAGGCTTGCAGATGCACAAGTAAATCTCAAGAGACATATTAATATGCAACAGTAATTTGTAATGTAATTCAACTAAGCATTGACAAATCCATTTGATACAGGCCTGATAAGATTTTTTTTGCGAGTGTTTAAAGTGTTGTATGCACCAAAACTGATGTGTCAAGATAAATGCATATAAGTTATTTCCCTTTCCTCCCCTCCATTTATCATCACTGCCTAGAAGAATAGAAGACTGTTATATTTTCCTGGATCCTACAGTCTTACTTTGTTTTATTGTGACATCTGTCGCACAAAAAGTTTTATCCTCTTAAGCATCTTACAAAGATCTGCCATTTCATGATGAGGACTTAATCTTTGAGCATGACATATTTTAACCAAGAAGTGTCAGTTAGGCACTGTATTTTCTTCAGAACTGAAGAACTGTTGGAGGTGTTTACTACTAAACAGAACTTTGGGGAAAAAGAATGTAATTTTTTTGTGTCATGAAGAATATCATGGTGCGAGTGGGAACAATTCCAAAAGAAGTAGAATGGAGAAGAGGTATAAAACCTCAATATCTACTGAATGTTTGACTCTCCTGTTGTTCCATTCTGTATTGATTTTTTTTTCCCCTCTCACAAAATGGCAACTGCCTCATGTATAGAAGCTTCATAAAAAACAATGCAGTTTTAGCTGTGCTGCTCTGAAAAATGTGCAACTGAATTACAAGCTCAAATATAAGGACATAGCTTCACTAATGTCTGCAAAATTTCACTAATTCACACAAGTAGACAACTCAATTTTCAGGTTATGTGGTGTGACAAAAATATGGGGTCCGATTTAGTTTGGGTTGTCATCATGAGTCATCATCATGGGATGCTCGCTCAAGTGTCTTCTGAATCACATGAAGATCGAAACCAAACAAAAAACTGGGCTGGCAGAATTTACTGAAGAGGACATAAATAGGAAATTTCAGCACTTCTGCTTCATTGAGGCAGTCTTGTCTGAACTTAGTAGTCCT